ACACTGGGTATTGATGATCCTAGAGTTTGGGTGTGCAATGGCATTTTGGTTATATAATAAAATGCCCCATTTTAAACAATGAGATGCTTACTTATGCATGTAGGTAAAAACCATGAGGTCTGGTTTAAAATACTTCAGCAAAGGGAGGGAAAAGAAAAAAGAATCAAGAGGCAAATGTGGCAACATCCTTATAACTGTTGAAAGTTGTTGGGTACATAGGGTGTACATGGGGTTCATTAAGCTATTTTCTCTACTTCTGTGTTTTTAAACATGTCTGTGAAAAAGTTGATAATGTATTATGGATAAAATATAAAACTACACCATCTCTTCACAGAGTCGGATTACTTCACTTCTTCCATCAGAGAAATGCTCCTAACATTTCTTAGAAAAGCAGTTAAAACAAACTGACTGGAAATGACTGTGGCCCTCACCCCTTAGTCATTACCATCTTTGCCATCTTGTCCAGGCACTGTGTTTTCTTCCTATGTGGAGGGAAGTTTGGCTGTCCCTCTCACATGTTACCCACCTTCTTCTTAAAGGATGATGCTATTTTTTCACAGCCTGTCACTGTGCCTACTTCTCTGTGGGGCTAGCCTACACGAGGCTTCCCATCTGCATTTTACACGCCTGCTCCCTGCTTCACAGGGACAGTATGCACACCCTCTTAGAAATATAAAGCAGAGTAGATTTCTAACTGATGGGGCTCCTTTTCCTATGCCTCATTACACCTGTGAAGATCGAGCTGTTTTTCTGTGATAAGGAAGAATGTGAAAGGGAAACATGGATCTGATTTGCTAAGGTTAGGTTTTCATGGGCAGTAAGTCTACCAGCTTCTTCTCCAAAGCTTGCTCCCATCCCACAGGGACATGAGGACAGTAGACACGAAGAGATACACTGAGGGAACCACAGAGACTCTATAAATGTTCATTCTCCTTCATTAAAAATGTGTAGTCACAAACATTTTGATTCATAAATAGTCAAGGTGCACACAGTCCTTTACCCTGAAATGAATTATCCTACCTTTCAGGGATATTCACCAACCCTCTTCAAAGTCAATATCCTTCCCCAAAGAGGAAGCCCAGGCTCCTCCAATTCCCTGAGTTCACATTTATTCAATTCCCTAGGCTGCCCCCAGCTCTGCGCAGTAAAAGGACCAATCACTGTCTTGGGAGGGCAGAAAGGATAGGGGCCAAACCCAGAGATGTGAAAGGGAGGTGCTCCCAGGTGAGGGCAGGACTTCCCATGTGGGAGAAGCCAGGTTTTTGGCCCTAACAGATTTCCCTGTCAAAAAGAAGTATGTTTCACAACAGGTTAGAGTCTACATGAAGTGGACCTATCTCTGAGGCACCTCCAGCCAGCCCTCTGCAGACCCATGGTCCTGAAGACTGAGTCCAGGGCCTTCTACCCTGTGGCAGGTAAACAGATCAGAGTGTCCCGTAGACGCTGACTTTGGCCATGGAGATGCTCTCTGTATACTGCTTTCGGCCTTTCTCATATAGGATGTAGAGCTGGGGGGCCTGGTCCTCCCTAGCTGTGCTGCCCTCCAGGGTTGCCAGTGATGAGTAGCCACTAGGACCTGGCCACAGCTGGATCATCTCTCTCTGCCATGAGGTGCCATTGCTGAAGCTCCAGCGCAGGGTCAGGTTCACTCCTGGGGAGAGCAGCAGAATCACAGAAAGGAGGGTCTCTGCCCAGGCCTCCACTAGATAGCAGTGGCTCATCCACTGACCCCATTCAGCAGATACTCACGAAACTCTGGGTGGGATGGATTGGAAAAGAAGACAATGCCAGAGCTGGTGGCGACAGCTCCTGCAGCTACTACTGGGTCCACGAGCTCAGGGTCGAAGGTCACATCACGGGGCCTCAGAGTATCACAGGCATCATAGCTGCGGAGGACAATTCGGCAACGACAATGGTAGTTGTTCTGGTTCCGGGCGTTGATGACAACTGAGCCATCTGGGAGCTCATACGGCTGAGGAGAGATAACAGGGCTCCAGGAACACCCAGGGAGCAAGGTTGGGTGGCATGGAGCTGGGCAGCTAGACCCTGCATCTGTGAGTAAAATGGTGCCCCATAGGACAGGGCAGGCACAGTGGGTGGGGAATGGCCCATGGATTCCTGACCTGGCACTCATCAGGGTTGAAATCATTTGCTTGCTTGCGCTGGTCATAGGGGATCCCTCTGATCCCATTCCCATAGTGCCAGGTGGCTCCGTGATCATCACTAAGGAGGCAGAAGACCCCGTCCCGCTCCAGTGTCCCATGGCCACACACGATGAGGCGGCCCTTCCGCGGCTCCCACTGTTTCTGTGGAAAGGGAGCTGGGTGTCACAGAAGGAGACACTGGGGCGGCTCAGAGGCAGGCCAACTCCAAGTGTGAGGACACACCTGGTCCCCTTCAGTTCTGTCCTTGCTGAGGGTCACAGAAGGATCCCATAAATACCCACTGCCTGAATTAAGAAGCTTTTTGCATAATAAGTTCCTTCAGGATATCCAGGGTGTATGCTGGACAGGTTGCACCCAGGACAAGGGGGCTCAGCCACAGGGATGCATGGCTTAAAGCACCTGGGCTCACTCACCAAGCTGGGCACCGTGGCACAGGCTTGTGTCTGCTCAAAGGAAGGGGTTCCTTTTCCCATTCTGCACAGGTACCACATGGACTAGTGCAGCCCTGCTGACAACCCCCAAATGGGAAGCCAGTGGCTAAGTTCCACTTTCTTCTGGTAGGATGTTCCTCCTAGGATATCACTTTCTTCAAAGGAATCCCGTCTAAGACAGAAAATCTGACTTCACAGGACCTTGTCCTTGGAAGGAATCCACTTTGGGGCATCTCCCAGACTCTCTCCACAAGGCAACCCCATCACTCATCTCAGGACAGAGACCTGAATGCCTGAGCCTGGTCCAGGGGCAAACACCTCAGTGCCGATATCCAAGGAGAGGTTCCGGGGCAGGCTCCAGGAAACACCATCATCCTTGCTCCACACCAACATGGTGGAGGCCACCTGGCAGCCGGTCTTGTGAGCACAGAGGGAATAGAAAAGGAACACCACTCCTGTCTGGTTATCGCTCACCACTGCCCCCAGGTTCAGCCCATCTCGGGTCTCCCCATCGTCTACAATGAAGGCTGTAGGAGACCATGTGCTGCCTGAAGGAAAAAAATAAGAAAGCCAGAGTGAGCACTCTGGAGGTGCCCTTTCCATCACCTGCTATTAATTTCCTCTTCCTGCTAGAGACCCACGGCCTTGGAATGGACCCAGATCCCTACAACACCTGCCCCTCTTCACCTCTTTGAACTTTATCTCTTCCACCCTTGTTTACTCCATCTTGCCAAACGAGATCTTTTCCATTCCTCAAACACTTTTCTGTCTTAAACTTGGCATAGGCTTGTGACATCTGCCTCCAGGCTCACACTTTCCCCTCTGAGCCTTTGCTCATATATCACTTATTTATAATTCCAACCAAACTCCAGCACTCCCCATACCTCTTGCCCTGTTTTATTTTTCTCCATGTGTTTATCACCTTCCAAAACAAAAAATAAATGTACTTATTTATTATGTTTATTGGCTCTCTCCGTACAACAGAATATAAGCCCTGTGAGGACAGAAATTCTTAGTCTGCTTTGTTCATAATTTTGTTCACAGAACCCAGAACCACACATGGTATATATAGTAGGTTTTCAATAAATATTTTAATGAATGTTCAAGGCCTACATGATCCCAGTTTCCTGATCACTGCCCTGGAAGGCTTCCCTCCTTAAATTCCCTTCAATTTCCCTTATCCTTAGGGCCCTTGGGCAGGTCAGGATCCCCACTCATCCAACATAAGCACCAGCACCGGCGACCTTTATACCTTGGTCCACGGACCTCCGAAGAGCGATGAATTTGGCGCCCTCATCCGATGAGGACATTTTTCTGGCCTCAGTGAAGGCAAGGAGAGTCCCCCGAGGAGTGGCTGTGATGAGTGGGATGCGGAAGGTGTCCACTGAGCCGATCTTCCTCCCGCTCACCCATAGCAGCTGCTCCATGGTCACCAGCGGCTGAACCTGCGAAGGGAGGAGAAAAGAGTCAATGAGGGAAAACTTGGGGTTTTAGGACAGATAAACAGCTGCTCAGAGTCGAGTTTCCCTCGGAGAGACAGAGTGTTGGGGATCCTGAGTGGCGGTGGAGGTCCCGGTTTTGAAAAGGAACGGGAACCCAGAGTCCTTTGGCGCGCAGCTGGAAGCTCAATGAAGAGGGGACTCGGAGAGGAGGACAGAAATCGGAGGAGAGAACTGGAAGTGGATGGAGGGAACAGGGTCTGGGAGCGGGGGTACAGTCCTGCGGAGGAGAGTGGGCTCAGCTAATGTACCGGGGAACACTGGGCATAGATCGCCCACTGGGGCCGCGGATGGGCCTATACGACTCACCAGACCGAAGTCCTGCTCTGCTCTTGCCCCGAATCCTGCCAGAGACAACTGCAGCAGGAAGATGACGGCAAATACCTGAACCCTACAGCCTCCCCAGGACCCCAGCATCCGCGGTCCCCTGGGTCTGACCAGGAGCACTGTGCCCGGTCGCTCCGCCATCATCTCTTCCCCGCGGCAGCCGCGAACCTGCATCCCAGGAGAGTACGTGGGTTGCAAGCAGTCGGCTGACCCACGCTCTTTAAATGCTCAAGTCTCTCTCTCTCTCTCTCTCTCTCTCTCACACACACACACACACTCTCCCAAACGCGCCCCAAGCCTTGCGCGCCGCAACTCAATTGGCCCTCAACACGCCAACCGCCGCCCCCCCCGCCACGTGACGCCAGCGCCCGGAACTAGCCTTTCCCGTTGGCCCTCTTTGGAACCCTGAGCAAGTGACCCGGCGGGGAGGTGCATTGGCTGCAGAGCGCATGAGGCGGGCGTTAGCCCATACAAGCCTTTTGATTGGCTGCTGCCCCTGGGGCCTTATTTAAGGAGCGAGGTGGGACATGTTGGGGTCGGGGATTGTGTGCTGTCTTGAAGAGAATGAAAGTTCCACATTTTGGGGAAATAAGGTATCAATCTTTAATAAAACTATTTTAACACAAAACCGAGATCTGGAAGTCGGGGTGGGGCGGGGAGGCTGTACAGGCGGGGTGCAGCCCTGGGTCAAGGCTGCGGGTTTCACTTCTTCCTCTTTTCGTTTCCCGGAGGCGCCTCATTCTTCTTGCCCAGAATCTTCAGCAGGGACTTGGACATGTAGTAGGGCCGGTCCAGGGAGCCGTCGTTCCGCTCCAGGTCTTCCACTGAGCCGCAACAGAGACCCGCTGGAGAGGACCCACGGGCCCACTCCCTCCCCCCGGGAGAATCAGGGGCTAAGAAACAAACTGCCTGACTTCCAGGCTCCACTACCCTGGTTGTCTTTTTTTTTTCCAGGCAGGTTTGTAACGTACCGGGTATCTTACATAATCTTAAATTTACTCATCTGTAAACTGGAGTCAGTACTACTATAATTCATAGCGTGAAAAGGATTAACAGAAAAAATTAATGTCAATCGCTTAGCGCAGAGCCTGGTACATACTAAACCTGGAATGAATGTATGTATACAGTAGGGTAAGAAAATCCCCACACACTACAGCCACCTGCTGGGAACTATGTTGTGGCAAACTTCTACCCTCGGTTTTCTAGGAGAGGATACCTGAGGCCTCTCCTCTGGAATGCACTCTTGGGAGCCCCCCACTAGCCTAGGAGCTCACTTCTTCCCTTCTTCCCTAAACCCCTGGCGTGAGGTCAGAAGGGGCTCTCTCTGGCTCTGTTTTCTTTAATTCATAGAGTCGCTGTTTGTAGACACAAAGTCTCCATATAAGTGAATAATCTGGTATCTTGAAGTTGGGATGGGGTGGGGTACACCGTGGGGATGTCACTCACAGAAACAGAGGAAGAGTGTGTCCACGCACATGCCAAAAACGCTGAAGAAGCCACTGGCGATGACGTAGGCCCCCAGGATGGAGGTCTGGAAGACACGAGGCCCATTAGGGCTCCTTTGGGGAGTTGGAGGGTGAGGCAGAGATGGGGAGTCACTTACCATGATGGGCAGCCAGTAATAGTTGAGTTGGGGGTTCTCAAAGTCTTTACCCAGGCCCTGGATGCGACCAGTGAAAAAAAAGAAGGACGAGACCCCTGTGGGTGAAGTCTGGAGGTCAGTGTCACTGCTCTGAGGTCACCTCTTCAGCTGCCCCGCAGCCCTGTCCTCTGTCCCTGTATGCAAACTTTTGGCTCTGGTCCTTACCGACACATCCAACCACCAGCAGTTTCCCAAAGAACAGCAGCAGATCTGTGACTTTGTCCAGGACAACCACCCTGTTTGGAGAAGGCTGGGGGTGAGAGCCTGGCAAAGCTAGGGTTGGGAACAGAATTGGCTGTATAATTTGCTATGACAGATGCAAAATTAAAATTGTTCACATTTCAAGATGAAAGCAGTGGAATATGAAACCAAGCTCAATGCCCTGAGCACAGCATACACATGAAGCCTGCCTTAGAGAACAGATCACCGGGAGTGCGGGTTGAGTGAGGGGTGGGAGTGTAGAGGAGAGCCTGACCTGATAATATTTCGCATGAGCAGCATGAAGGCGTTTTTGGCTGAGATGCAGAAATTCTTTCCATAGATGGCAATCTGGGTGAGATAGACAGGTCAGTTACTAGGCTTGTCATGAGCTTTCCTGCAGTGGGGCAGGAGAGGTGGCAGCACCTAGGCCAAGGAGCCTGGGAACAAGGGGTTGCTGGGCAGTGGGGCTCACCATTATGTATGCATTGCGATTCAGGAACTTGATAAATTTCTCCAGACACCAGAGGCAGCACTTGAAGCAGCACATGAGGCAGCGGGTTACAGGATTCTGGGCTCCTGGGAGTGAGTAGGGCTCCTGTTTGCTCACTGGCCCCTGAGAGCTGCTCCCCAAGAATCTTGCTGCTCAGCTTGGACTTCCTAGCCCCTGGCCTTGGCTCACCTCTCAGTTTGTGGTCAATGTACTCCAAGATGATCCTGGCTATCTGCACAAGGGTCAGGATGAGGGCTCCAAAGGCTAGTGACCCAGAGTGGTAACTGCAGAAGAATTAGGTAGTCAGAGGCAGTCCCAGGACCCCGGGATTCCCAGGCTCATGATTGCCAGCCTCCTGCCTCTGGCTTACCGGAGTGTGCGGATGAAGGCAGAGCTCAGGGGGAAGGAGGGGATATCCTTGGGCTTGTTTAAAGCCCAGTAGAAGGAGGCAAAGGCCCCAGCCAGGACACACTGGCCTAGGGCCAGTACCCAGTTGAGGGTCCAGAATAGCCCCAGGATCCCGTAGATTTGCAAGTTGAAGAGAGTGCGTTGTACCAGGCCTCTGGACGTGTAGTCCTGGAAGATGCACATCAGCCCTGGGCATGAGGAGTTCACGGGCTGGGCCTGGTGAGGACAGAGTAGGCTCATTCCCAGCCAGCTCCTGCCTTCTCAGTAGGGAGGGAAGTAGCTGCCTCCCTGGGCTGGGGAAGATGGTTCGTTCCAGGAGATCCATCTCCAGTTTCAAACTGAGGTCAGCTTGCTTATTGTGAGTGTGATTAGCTTCCTTCAGTCTATGGATGGGCACAAGAGCTCCCAGCTCTGTGTGGGTCAAGCCTTAAAGGTGCCAGGGGCCTTGTGACCCATGCCTAGCTCTCCCTCGCACTTAGTAAGCAATCCCCTCCCTGGGCAGGGCAGCCTCTGCAACTTCAGCCAAAATGCTTTCTAGCAAAATTGACAGACTGAGTATTAAATGGTATTAGGGAATCACTGGTAACTTTATTGGGTGTGATAACAGTATAATGGTTATGCTTTTTAAAAGTCCTTATCTGTTGAGATCCATCCTTATGTATTTGTAGAAATGGCACCAAGTCCAGAATTTGCCTTAAATAAACTCCAGAAAAAAAAATGCAGGTGGGAAGGATGGGGAGTTAGATTAAACTAGAACTGTGGAAAGGCGAAGGTGGTGAAATCTGGGTACAGGGATTCTCTGTGTGTTTGAAAATTTCCATGACAAAAAGTAAAAAACGTGGAAATTAAAAAAAGCAACAACACCCTTTCCAGCATATGTGACAAAAATCTTGATAATTGCTGAAACTGAGTGTGTGTTTGAAGTTTTACAGTAAAATAAACTACTTTCCATTTTGTTTGTGGTTGTGGGTTTGAGTCCATCTCCACTGCTAGCTCCTGGCTCACGCCAGAACAAGAAAGCCCCTCCCTTTCCTTTGTAGAGTCAGCTGACACCTGTGGGCACAGCCCCAAGGTCCTAGCTCAGAGGGCTGAGGACAGTAAATATCCCCCAGTCCAGGGCCACTCCCTGGAAACCTCAAGAGTATGGAGAGGCAGCCCCTCCTCCAGGGAGTCCCACCTATTGCCCAGGGCACTGTGTTATGAGGGAGGAAGACTTAAAAAAACTAAACAAAACTCTAGTTATTGGCTCTTACCTGGTGCCAGGCATTGTACTAAGCACTTTACTGCCCCATATCATTTAATCCTCTCAATCCCCACCCCACCCCCCAGGGACAGGTATTATGATTATCTCCATTTTACAGGTGCCTGGAGGGTGAGGGGCTAAGGGTCCTCCAGACAGCGGAATGTTGGGGGAGGGGTGGGAAGCTTTGGTAGCCAGCCACCCGAGGGCCTGTCACTGCCCTCAAGCACAGCATAGCTCCTCTTCCAGCCTCTGCTGGTTCCCTGTCCAGCTCTGCTGGGGCCTGTTGTGTGACATTTAGTCAGCTCCTTAGTCTCTCTGGTCCTTAGTCTCCTTTGCACAACGAGGGATTTGGACCAATCACCCCGTTGGTGCCCCTCCATGTCCACCCCCAATCCTCTCACCGTGGGGTCACATGACTTATTCACTGGCGCTTTTGTACACTTGGGCAGGCTGTCGTTTGGCGCCCAGAAGACATACTGGGGCTGTCCCGATGTGGCCAGGTACCCAGAGGGAAGTTAAGGAAGGCATGGTCATGGTGACGCGGGAGGGGGACCCACAGGCGCTCCCTCCTCAGGGACCTCATCTCAGGTGTTTGAGCGGGTTGTTCACTGCACAAGGGGCTGGAAGTCAGCCTGGACTCGCTCTTTCAACTCTGCCCAGGGGCAGGGCTGTGCCTGCCCAGAGGAAGGGGTGCCTTCTTCCAGTTGCATTAAAGCACTGTATAGGCAAGTAATGCCCTGTCCCCCCCAGCCCTCCAGCTCTGCCCCAGGCACTCCAGGAGGGCCCGCCATGTGGGCAAAGGATACAGAGCGGTCATGGCCCAGTAGGCAATGCAGATAAGCAAGAGGACAAAGGTGACCAGTGGATAGAACATGGTAGACATCATGTGTCCCACAGCCCTGCAGGGAGATGAGAGCAGTCCGCCACATGGCCCTGGCTGAGCCAGGCAAGGGCCCCACCTCCACCCTTGCTCCATCCCCCAAGGCTGGGCACACAGTAGTTGCTCACTGAATGAACTGAACTGAATAATCAGGCTGAAGGGACTATTACAAACTAGAGTCACAGAGAAGCCACCTGGGACAGCTTCAGGGGAAGTAAGGGAAAAGAGTCCTCAATTATGGTCTCTTGACCAATTTGGCAGGTAGGTCCTGGTTGGGAGCAAGCTCTGGCTTCTATTCCCAACCTGGATCCCTGCCATTCTGCCACCACCACCACCACCACCACCACCACAACCACCGTGAGGAGCAGTGTCAACCCTTACAGAGTGCCTGCTTCATGTTTCAGGCAATGGACAAGACACCAACTCATTTCAGCCTCCTGACACCACCACAAGGTAGGAACTACTATTACCCCTGTTTTTAGAGATAGGTAAACTGAGGCTTAGAAGGGCTAAGTCACATAGCAGTGTTAACCACTGCACTACTCTGCCCTTCTTTTCTAGGGCTCCCTGCCACCTTCACAGCACCCCTATCTTGGGCCCACACCCCTGCCCTTTGCCCCCTCTCCCTCCCAGACAAGCCCTGACTTGCTGGCCTCCTTCAGGAGGGCAATGGCGATGCGAATCCGCTGCCGCAGGAAGATGAGCACCAGTAGCAGGATGCCTTCAAGCACAGCCAGCACAATCACTGAGGATAGACAGGGAGGAGAGGGGCCTGGGTTAGGGCCAGGCATGGTTCTGGGCAGACTCCCCACCCCAGGTGGCTGATGGTTCATAGGTGGGCAGGGCACTCACAGGCTGCCAGCCAGGTCTCCTGAACGCTGCCATAGGCGCTGAGGTTAGTCATGAATTGCAGCTGGGTGATGGTGGCCCCCTTGTCCCGCAGCACTTGGTATTCCCTCCAGCAGTGGTAGATGCCATATGCTAACACTCCCAGCACCCCCAGGATCAGCCCCAGCACCAGGGGTCCAGCCACCAGGCGCAGAAGCAGGATAAACAGCAGGCTCAGGACCAGAGCCACACCTAGGGCACTGTGGGCAGGGTGAGGGTCACCTCTGGTCCCCTAAATCTTTCCCCTTTCAGAGGCCCCAACTGCATTTCCTCACACCCGCAGTGCACCCAGATTAGACCCCCTTTCTCAAAAATCCTGTTGGGCTTGGGGTCCATTCCGAGCTCTGGCTCCTTCTCCTCTGTTCCAAGTCTTTATTTCAGACATTAGGTGAGGGGGTAACAGGGGAGAAGGGAGACTAGAGTAGGGGAATCTGGTGACTCACACAAGTATCCAATACCAGGATTGGGCAAAATCCTCAAAGATCTTCACACTGACATCACGGGAATTGAGACTATCAAGAAGACCACTGTCGGAAAGAGACAGAGTTGATGCGGCTGCGGGTGGGAAGGGGTAGGGACAGTGATGTGGGGGCAGGGAGATGCCCACCTGATCCCCTGGGAGGTGTTGCCGGTGATCCCTGAGAGCTCAGGTGGAGTGCTGTTGGACCATGGAAAACAACGCCCCAGAACTGGAGGGAGAGACCCAGGGCCACTGGATGAGAGAGCCAGAGCTTCTGCCTTGGAAGTCTCTGGTTCCCACCTCAGCCCACAGGGCCCTTGGGGAAGGGAGAAGAGAAGGGCTCTGGCCCTATCAGATGGGCTGCTCTTGATTCCACAGCCAAAAGGGAGCTCCAGTCCAGGCTGCCTTCACTGTCTCTCATACCCCTTTCCTCCCTTCCCTGCCCTGCCTGGGCTCAGACCCTAGCTCCTCTGCCTGACTCTCTCAAGTCTCCACCCCAACCTTGCCACCCTTCAATCCACCCTCTGCCCGAGTGCCAGGGAGACCACAGCACAGCACGGTCCTCAGCCTTCCTGTGTGCTAGCTCGCTCCGCTGCTCAGATGCCTCCAGATAGTGCCCAGGTCCCTGGCCAGGCCGCAAGCCCACTTCCCCTCACCTCTGTCCCTTTGCTCTCCCTGAGCCTCTTGGAGTGCTCTCCCTCCTCCAGAATCCCATCCATTACTCCCTGTTCAGCTCCACTTCCATCTCACCTCCTCCAGGAAGCCTCCTCACTTCACCCCCATCTCCATGGCACCTATCATGTATCCACAGGCCCATTTATCACCATTTGTGAGGTAGGCTTGCTTTGGTATTTACATTCTAAAGATAAGGAAATCAGACTCAGAGAGGCTGAGTAACTGGCTCCAGACCACACAGCTGGAAAGCACTGGAATGTAAATCAAGATCTATCCAACTTTGGAGCATTCATTTGCAACGCTTTCTATTGTACTTGTATTAAGAAATGGATGTCTTTTCTCATCCTATAATTAAAATAGATTTTTCTATTAAAAAATTAACATTTACTGTTGAAGAGAAAAACATACAGAAAAAAGTCCCAATATCCAGCCACATTCACTTGTAACGTTTGGATGACCATCCTTCCAGTTTGTTTCCTATGCACATACACGATGTGTGCAGATACATTCGTCCATGTGTGTTTTTATGGCATTCTCATGCAGTCTCTTGGTGAACATCTCTGATTTCTCCACCTCGAATAGGGAGCAGTTTCATCTTCCCTGAGTCTATCTCCAGTGCCTGGCACACAGCAAGTGCACAGTAACTGCTGAGGATCTGACTGCAGGGTCATGCAGCAGAGAGAAAAATGAAGACCTGATGCTAATTCCAATTTTGCCACAGATGAGCTGTGCAACTTTACTATCTCTGGACCTGGTTTCCTCATTTGAGCATTAAAAACAGAGGACTAGATGATGCCTGAGGAAGGAATGTGCATCTTACCTGGAGTGGAAGGGAGGAGAAAGCTGGGACAGAGTTCCTGTTTCAGGCTTTGGAGGATAGGCTGGGTGGAGGGAGGACAGACAGACACAGACATAGAGCATCACGAAGGAGCAAGCCTCCTCACCACCACCACCACCACCATAGTCATCATCTACCCATCCCCCTCTCCCACCTCCACCCACGTGGCTCCTTCTCCCCAACAGCAAGGATGTTGGGGCAGCGCTCACCATATCCCAGGGCACCCCTGGTTGACAGAAGTTCCTATTTTCAGCGTAGAAGACCTCCCCGACCAGCTGTGAGTACTGGTCCACTTGCACGGTCCATGCGGCCTCTGGGCAGGAGGACACACACACCTGGGAGCAAGGAGCATGCTGAGGGGCTGGAATCCAGCCCCTGAGGGTGATCTGGGCAGAGGCAGGCTCCAGGCTCTGACCTGGGGTGTGGGGCACTGTAGGCCATTTGTGGCAACTGTGATGATGTTGGTGGCCAGGATGCAGCTGAAGATGTTGAAGTATAGGAGATACGGTTTATCTCTGCAGGGAAGGAAGCATGTGCAACAGGGTCTGGTCAGTCTTTGGAAGGGGGAGGGACTGCCAGGGCCGTGTCCCAAGAGTGCAATGGGCCCAGCATGGCCAAGGCACGGACCACCCAGCTTCTGGTCTCAGCTCAGTCCAGCTGAGAGAGTACAAGAGACATCCTAAGATTTCCCAGAGTAGTTGAGCATCGAAACTGCTAGCAAATGGTTAAGAGCTTGAACTCTGGAGCCAAATCACCACCCAGCTTTACAATTTTGAGAAAGTCATTTAACTGCTCACTGCTTCAGTTCCATCATGTGTAATATAATAGTAGCTACTTCATAGGGTTTAAATTAGTTTGTGTATAAAGTACACTGCCTGGAACATAGTAAACACCATATAAATGTTAGAGGTTTTATATTTATCGAACATTTCCAGCATGTGGGAACTGACAGTATTGCTTTCGAAATCATCTTTCTGTTTCAGATGAGGAAATTAAAGCTCAGAGAGGTTGAGTACCTTGCCCTAGGCCACACAACCAGACCTTACTTAGCCCAGTAGGGGATTCAAACAACAATCTCTGGACTCTAAAATCCAGCACTTAACTATGACTCTATAATTCTGGGGCAACTCAGAAGCCAACTGTCGAGCAATGGAGGCTGCTCAATGTGGCTGAGTGGTGAGATTCAGGGGAGGCTGAGGTGAGGGGAATCAGTGGGAACAACAGGAAAGGGTCAGAGCCTAAGGGTTTTTTGTGGGGATGGGGGGAGGGTGGTCCTCTCACCCATGGCCCATTTCACCTCCCTCCTACCCCCTCTTCCTGCCTTGGTACTCACTTGTTTGCCCCCACCCCGCAGTAGGCCCCGGTAGAGTTCCTGGGGTAGAGAACTTGCTGGGGATCTCCATACAGCCAGGCTGGGGCCAGACACAGAAGATGAAATCACCAGAAGACAAGGACATTGAAGGGAGCAGCCATGGGTATGGTCCCTCCCAGGTTCATTGCCCTCAGCCACCACCCCAGCTCTGCACGGCTGGAAACTCACCTACGAGCCCCACCACGATGTAACCCAGAATGAAGAGAAAGAAGAGGACACAGCATATGATATCTGTGCAGCCCCTGGGAGAGAAATGGAGGAAGCTTCTGGAGAGGGGATGCGGGGGCCTGGCCTGGAGGAATCCTGGGTTGGAGAGCTGGGGGAGGCCAGACAGTGGACATCGAAAGATTTATCTTATTTTTCTTAAGGAAACCTTTTTCTAGGTGGATAAACTTTCTTCTGAAGTAGAATACAGAAAATTGCCCAATTCACAAATACTCAGCTGGTTGAATTTTCCAAAGGGTACAGGCCTCTGTGGCCAGCCCCCAGATCAAGAAACAGATCGCCAGCACACCAGCGCCCTCTTGCGCCCCCCTCTGGACACAACAATCCCCTCAAAGGCACCACTCTACTGGGGCAGTTTTCTTTATTAGAAACTTCTTACCAATATTTCAGCAAATATAAAAAAGCAAGACCCCGTTCCACCCCGTGGCCAGCGCCCAGAACTCACCTGTTCTTGATGGGGCCTCGAAAGGAGGGATCATATCTGACTGGTTTCCCTGAAGGGGCATGAGGAGTGTGGAGAGTGAGGCCCCAGAGGAGTCTCCCCACTTCCCGTCCTTCTCAAATCCTCCTCTGAAGCAGGGTCCCACCTTGCCCAGGACACCCCGCCCTGCCCCCCACCCCCAAGCCCTCAGGAGTTTGCGGGGGAGATGGACCAGGCCAGGCTCACAGGAGGGGAAATGGGAGAACAGGAAAGGTAGGATCAAGGACCAGAAGGAGGAGAAATGGGAACCTTCAGGGGTCATTTCTGGCTCACACCTTAAGGCTGGGAAATAGCCTTCGCCTTCTGTCCCCACCCTGGCTGTTTCTCCTGCATTTTGGTGCAGCTGAGATGTGGGATTCTGAGTCCAGCCATCTCAGTGACTCTCATGCCCCAATTCTTATCCTTCTTCCAGCCCTGTGCCCTGCCTAGGGTGGGCACAGATCTGGAGCCCCTCAGGCAGGTCACAGCCCCTCTCCTTACCTGCTCCTGGCCCTATGTCCACCCTCTGGCCTGTGGATATGGAGAAATAAATGGGAGCCAAAGGCAACACCTCCTGCAGAGCCTGGAGAGGGTGGGGGCCCCTGGAGACTCCCACCCAAAGGGACCTCAGGCCACTGCCAGTCTTTGAGAGAGCAGTCAGGGTGACACCTGAGCCTGGCAGTTGAGATTGTGGCCGCATCCTGTTCCTGGTCCTCCCTGAGTACACACAGGGAGGAGGTGGGGCCAGGCAGCCAGGGTCCCATGTGGGCACTGAGGAGGGAGGGCAGAAGGCTGGGCAAGAATGTGAGAAGGGGTGGGGTCTGTTCTCCCCAGGTGCTCTGGACTCTGTCCTGCCAAGGCTTTCTGGACATGAGGTCAATGATTGACCCAAAGCTGCTCCAGGAAGTCTCCCAGGAAGTCCTCACTGCTCCCTCCCTTAGCCCCCTTTGCCTGTGGGAGGCCCCTCCTTTGGAGTTCCCCTCCTACACACCAGGAGCTCAGGCCCCCCCAAACCCCAAAGGGCAGGTCCATCAGTCCTTACTGCTCACAGGTTCTCCAGAGGCTGGTCCCAGCCTTATCCCCTCAGCTTCCCCCAACTCCTACTCCTAGGGACAGGCTGCCTACCCTGTTCCCCACAGAGATTCTGCAGACAGGCTGCCTGCTCCTTCTCTCCTCAGGCCTTACCCTTCACAGGAAGCCCTGAAACGCTCTGCCCCTATTCCTCAAAGTACCCCAAGACAGGCGTCCACTCCTAATAGCAACCCTGGAGGTAGCCCCAGCTCCTCACAAGGACCCCAGCACACCACACTGCCCCTGCTGCCAAGATGCTGGCAGCAGACTCCCTGCACCATTACCCCTAGAGCCCCCACATCCCGGCTGGAACTTGTCCTCTCAGAGACCACAGACTTTCCTCCCAACGACCACAAATCCCAGCCTCCCCTGGTGAGCTCAGTGGCACTCCCAGCTGCTGAGCCCCACCCCCTTGCTCAGGCTTCCCAGGGCCCTGCCCTGAGGGACCCAAATTCCAGGCCTGAAACCCCACTCCTTCCAGGGACTTCAGCCCCAACACCTCATGGAGACCCCAGCTTCACTCCTCAAAGCTTCCCTAGCAATGGCCCCCAGGAGCTAGACTGTCCTCCTCCCAGAACCCTGACTCTGCCTCCTTCCATTAGCTGTTCCTGGGCCCTCCCCTCAGGGAGCCAGGACCCCCTTAGCTCCTCTCCCTGGGACCAGCATCAACTACCATTCCCCAGAGCACGCCCAGGTGGTTATCCCCACCCTTGGCAGGGTCCTGGGCCTCTGCCCCACCCTCACCGTGGGCCTCGTCTCCGTCCTGCTTTCCCCTCATGGCTCAGTCTCCAGAGTGACTGGAACCTGGGAGACCTGGCGACTCACCTGCTGCCGCCTGCCCCGCCCCACCCGCCCTCACGTCAGAGCCCCACCTCTGCCTGTGGTCCCCGACACTCTCTGGTTCCTCCTTCCCAACTGCTTGCCAGGAGGACAGCAAGGCTGAACCTGGGAGGGGGAATCAGGGCTGCTTGCTGAGGGCCCCATGGACCACAGCCTGAAGGACTTGGCATGCTCTTAAGACACTCCTGAGATTTTGCAAATTACCTCAATTGTGATACACTCAATGCCCACAAACTCCAGTCAAAGACTAAATGTTGAGATTGCCTTTCAGCCCTTGACCAAGCTCTGTCCAGTGGTCTCCCCACACTCCCCTCCTCCAGGTGGCTGTCCACGCCAGCCGTACCTGTTCAGCCAGCTTCAGCCAGCTTCCGGTCCTGCTCTGCCCTTTGAAGCGCACTCCCACTGGCTCTGTGTGCTTCCTCCCTGACCACTCCTTCCCCAGCAATCACCCAGACTGTTTATTACCAAACCCAGCATTTACTTAGAACAAAGGAAAACAGTTTGCAAAGAGTCCCAATTTCAATTCATCAAACTTTAGCTAAGGATGGGGAACAGGTGGGTAGCCAGCCCTGAAGTCACCCTCCCAGGGAGGAACCAGCTCTGGGAGGGCAGGGCTGTCAGGCCTCCAGGGCCTGGCTGGGGTCTCTGCCCAGGAATGTGTGAAGGGGCAGGGCAGAGAGGATGGCGGCCCTCCCAGGCATGGGCCGCGAGCAGCCAGTGGCAGAGGCTGAGCTGGTGGCCATCCAGGGGCAGGGAGGGAATGCATGGTCCACTCTCAGGGGTTGACAGGGGGCAGGGAGCTGAGCTCAGGCAGCAACTCAGGGTGGGGATCCAGGCGGGCCAGGCGGCTCTGCTCCAGGGCAATGGCCTCAGCGGAGTGCTTGCACTTCTCAGAGCCACACTGGCACGTGAAATACTTGCTTTTGATGTCCCAGAAGCGGTCACCGTAGTCAAACCTGTTAGAGGAGCACAAGAGGCTTATAGGACCCAGACCCAGCCACCAGGCCCACCCCAGAGCAGCCACACCCATCTTCTGACAGGCTCCAAGTCCTCATATAGTTTATGAACTTTTAGTACCAGAACTGTTTGGAAGTTTGTTAGAAATGTAGACTTGGGAACCCTGTTCCCAAACTACAGTCAAAATCTGCGTGGTTCAGGCTCAGGCCTGTTCAAACTGATGTCTGAGCAGCTCTACTCTAATGGGTGCCTGGTCTCAGCCCTCCGCACTTCCCATACCTCCCACCATCGCTGGCCCTGTCCCTGCCTCACCCCAGCTCCTCCCCAGTCCGGATGTCTCTGGAACTGAAGAAGGCAATGCGTGGGAACCGCAGGTCCTGGTGCAGCATGAAGACCCGGACAGGGATGATGTTGGGGTCACACAGGTGGTTGATGAAGCGGCTGATGTTGCCATAGTAACGGGCATCAATGCAGTACACCTCTCCATCCTGATGGGGGAGGGTCTTCACATCTACCACCTCGCAGCTTGCCAGGCCCCCTCCCCAGGTTTCAATCTGCTGATTAGGAGTAGGGACAGTGGGATTTCCTGCCCACCTTGTTGTCTAGGTCAAAGAGATATGAATCATCCTCTCTCACATCAGCCTCAGCATCAGAGATCAGTTCTCCAACATACCTGTTGGGCAAGAAGTGGTGGTTCTGAAGGTGAGTGGGGGTTGTCAGGAGCTGGCTCCAGGCCCCTCTCCCCTCCCAGCCCCATGAATCCTCCTCCACTCTTGGTCAGCTGACCCAGACAGTATGTTTCAATCTCACAGATCAGCACGGCTGGCCTGGGGTGGGTAGGCAAAGCACAGTGGGTCCAGGGCAGGGAGGTCTGACAGCCCCTTTGCCCCAGAGACAGCACATCACCTGGCAGGGGAAATGGGTGGCTCCCCTCTGGAGGAGGGATCACGAAGAGGAACATGGGGACACAGGCATGTGAGGGAACACAGGGCACACTCCTGCCAGTTGGGGTACCCCTTGGACAGCTGGACAACAGGCAGGACTGGCAGATGTGGGCAAAGTCCAGCAGGTGTGGGCCAGGGATGAGCCAGAGGAGCAGCAGTGGGAAAGTCAAAGGGAAGGGCCCAAGCCATGCTGAGCCACTCAGTGGGCATGAAGATGCCAAGCCTCTGTGGGTAAGGGGGTCAGTATCTTTGGGCAGTTGGCTTGAGTGGGAAATAGTTCAGGTTTAGATGCTTGGAGATTTGTGAACTAGGAATCACCAGCAGGTGGTGACTCCAGGTGCAAGGACAGGTGAGGAGTCAGGGCTGCAGAAAGGATGGAGCCACCTACATTTGGAAAGCAGAGGCAGAGGAGCTGGCAGAGGAAGGACAGGTATGTTGGAGGTGAGGTTGGCATGATGGAGCCAGAGCAAGGGGGTGGCAGATGCCAAGAGAACAATGACTGAGACACTCGAGGCTGGGTGGGGGTATTGTCATGAGGCAGTATCAACAGGGGGGGAGGGCAAAGGTAGATGTTGGCATGGTGAGCCGTGAGTGAATGGTGGGGAAACTGAGGCCCAGGAGACCGAGGAGGACAGGGACATTTGTTTGAGCAACATTGAGAGATGACATGATGGAAAGAAAATGGATGAGCCCTTAAACAGGCATATGGGCTGCATTTTTTTTTTTAAAGGAGACCTGGATTAAGTGTGATGGCCGTGGAGTAGGACCCAGGGCTTGGGGAAGCTACAGATGCTGGAAGAGAAAGCGCTGATGGAGAGGGATGAGGCCCCTGAAGAGGTGGATAGAAAGGCAGCACTATTGCCTCCTGTTTTGCAGACAAGAAAAATGAGGCTCAGAGGTTAAGTAACTTGGCCAAAGATGCCCAGTGGTTGCAGTGGTGGGGGTGGGGGTGCTCAAGTCCAGGTCTGTCTCCAAACCTGGCGCTTTTCCCAGTTCAGAAAGGCAGAAGGAGGTGTGTGAGGCTCAGATATATACCCAAGGGGAAGAGGAGGGGAGGAGAGGTGAGAGCAGTGTGGACAGATCTGTGGTGTGGGCCTGGGCTGAGGGGGGGCAGGCGCGGTCCCTGGCCATGGGGATGGAGGTCAGAGCAGGCTGGCAGAAGATGGCGGCAGTGAGAATTATGACCACCAGGGAGAAGGGCAGAGGGGGTGCTGGGTGCTTGTCCCACAATCCCCAGGGGACCCCCACCCCCACTCACTCGCAGATGAAGGTCCCCTGGGGGATGGTCTGCAGGGCGCGGACCCCCCAGCCCATCTTGGCTGTTCGGTAGAGCTGCAGTCGCACCCTGGGGGTGGGAGAAAGGGTGATGTTGGGTGAGGGGGCCTGGAAAGCCCTATGGAAGGGGAGATGGGAGTGAGGTGGGGTAGGGGCGGGACCTCACTTGATGCCACTCTGTACGACCCGGTTCTTGCAGTTCCTCCAACAGGAGCATGCCTGGTTACACTCAAAAATCAGTGGAGGCTCGATCTTGTTAAATTCCTGGAGTAGCCGCCCATCCTGGGGTTAAGCCAGGGGAGGACAAGTGGTTTCTGTGTGATGTCCACCTCAGCTGCCCAAGACTCCCAGAGATTCCCCAGAAAAATCCACTGCTGACCCCATGCCAAAGTCAGGGAGGATGGGCTAAGGGTGGCCACACATGCTCTGAGATCGGAGCAGAGCAAACACACAACCAGCCCCCTGGATTTGCATGTACCTGGGCACAGGCCCATCTCTATCCTGGCGGTGACCCAGGAATCCCAGGGCTTGCCCTGCCGTCTGTGCTCCCACAGGGAGGAGGTGAGGGACAAGGTCGCAGGGTGTCAGTTGGAGGCCAGCTTCTCTAAAGCCGTGGACAAGCATCCAGCCAGGGCAAGAGCACGTACCTTGTCATACCAGCAGCGAATGCTAAGCTGGCCGCACAGGCAATTGGAGCTGGAGCAGTCATCCATACACGTGCAGTGCTGGGGCAGAAGGCAGGCTGTCAGCTCAACCCCAGGAGCAGCCTTGGCCCCTTGGCTCCCAGTGCTCTCTGCCCCCAGCTGCTACCCTTTCTCTAGGGTCTGTGTTTTAGGATCATGAGTAGTAATGGTCCCAGAGTGAAGAGGAATCAAGATGTTACTGATGGGGTGTTCCCAGGGCTACCACGAGCCCCTGTGTTATCTTCATGCGTCCTAACAAAAGGGCCTCTTCCACAGGTGGAGGCAAGCCCACACCAGAGCTCCCTTTCAGCCTCTACCCCTTCGTCCAGGTGTCCGTGTGGGCTCACAACTTGTCCAACTGTACTGAGCAGCTCTGGGTGTCCCTTTGGGAAAGCCCAGGCCCTCCCGTTCACCTGCAGGTGGGTGATGTTGCGGTCAATGTTCATGGTGGACGTCTCACAGTTCTCCGAGATGTACTTGTAATCCTCAGGGCAAGGCTCCCCGTCCACACCATTGACACAGGGAATGGGCACATTCTCATAGCCTCGAGCCACATCCCTGGCAGACGGAAATGGGGGTGGGGGGCTAGGGCATGGGGTAAGGGGGCTCCTCTAGGTGCAAGAGAGGGCTGGGGAAGTTCCTGGGGCATCGGGAGAGGGCTGCAGGAGAGAAGGGGCTGGTTCTGGAGGTTCACTGGAGTGTGGGGAGTAAGGCTGCCAGATGAACTGCAGAACACCCAGTGAAATTTGGATTTCAGATAAATAAATGATTTTTTAGTACGGGTATGTCCCAAATACTGCATGAGACACACTTAGTCTAAAAAAGTATGCCTTGTCTCTGCATCTGAATTTTTAATTTAACTTGATGTCCTCTATTATTTGCTTATCTGGCCGCCCTGGCCCAGGGCCGGGGGTGGGGAGTGGGGACGTGGCTGCAGGTGGTTCTGGAACTGAGTGGCACCTGGGGAAGGGAGGGGAGGTAGTTCTGGGTGCAGAGGGCCCAGGGCTCACCGACAGATGATCTTCTCAGTGCGGATGGCCCTGTTTCCCACCCCGAGTCGAAGCTTCCGGTTGAGCTGGAGCGCAAACCACACATCAGAGCGTTCAGGAGTCAGGTCCCATGCTGTGTCCCCTTCCTTGTTCCGCAGCTCAGGGTTTGCTCCGCGTGACAGGAACAACCTGGGAAGGGATAGGAAGCCTGTGGGGTCTGGGGCTACAAGAGGTGTTGGCAGGGTGTCGTGGTGGGACAGGTAGGGGGCTCACAGCACACAGTCATGGTAGCTCTCCCGGGCAGCGATGTGCAGGGGCGTGTCCCCGTGGTAGTTGACAGCATGGAGGTTGCAGCGAGCATTCAGGAGGACCTCAGCGATGGCTGCGCTGCCAGTGAAGGAGGCCCAGTGCAGGCAGATGTTTTCCTCCTGTGGAGGTGGGTTGGGGGAGGGATGGGCGCAGGCAGTAGAGCCCTTGAACCCAGCCTCCACCTTGCGCAGGGCAGTCCCATCCAGACTGAACTCTCACGCACATTGTCAGTGAGGGTGACATCGGCACCCCGTGTCAGCAACATGCGGATCACCTCGATGTGCTTATGCTCTGCAGCCCAGATGATGGGTGTCCATCCCCCACTGTCCTGTGGTTGGGGAGGGAGGAGTGAAGGTGGGGCCCAGCAGCCAGCTCTGTCACCGAAGCAGCACACGGTCAAGAGCATAGGCTCTGGGGTCAGAGCCGGAGTAAGTCCCAGCTCCACCACTCCATGCTGCGGGGCCCTGGGCACGTCACTTTACATCTCAGGGTCTCAGTTTCCTCAACTACAAAATGGGACTTCAAGTGTCTATCGGGTAAGACTGTGGAATAATTTTTCTCTTTCTAAAAAATAAAGTATTTTCTAGGTCTGCCCACTCAAAAGTCCTAGAAGCAGTGACCCAAATAGCAACCACCACTCCTAGGTACACAGATTGTAGTCTCTAAAAAACATGTCCCATTGAAAAGAACCAGAGTTTTTTAAAGAATTGGTAGATTCTGAGTCTGGGGCGGAAATGTGCTGAAAGGTAAGGATGCCCTTAAGAGCTACTGGCTCATATTAAGAGACACAGGAGCCTAGTTCTCTTCTTGGATGAAGGATGGGAAGATTCAGGAATGAGAATAACAATGATAGACTAAAACACATCCAATATATGAAGAATTAAAATAAAGATCATTATCGGACACTTTGAGAGATCAAGACAGCAACTCACTATACTGAAAACTGGAAAAGGGAAAGAAGAAAGAGAAACAAGTGAAGACAAAAATACAAATGAAGAGGGAAAAAGAGACGGGACAGCATGGAGCAGTGTGGGGTTCTGGGAAAGGGAGAGAAATCAGCTGAGGCTGAGAGGGGGTTCGCAGCCTGGGGAGGAGCCCAGGACCCTGAGGCGGGCTGGGCAGGCAGCCGAGCCACTGACCTGGGCATTGACGTCCACCTGTCCCGTGCTGAGCAGCAGGCTCACCATCTCCAGGTTCCCGATCTTGGCTGCGTGGTGGAGGCAAGTGGAGCCGTCCTCCTCCTGAGGGAGATGTGGGCAGGTGAGTCTTCCAGCTAGCGCCTTGTACCCAGGCCCTGGCCTCCAGTCCTGGCCCAGGGAGGCACCGCACCTTGCTGTAGACGCAGCCGCCACGCTGCACCATGTAGCATGCCACTTGCAGGTGGTTGTTCACCACGGCCTCCATCAATGGCGTCCGCTGCTGCTTATCCACCGCATTGATGTTGGCTCCAGCCTACAAGGAGCGGGCACGAGGGCTAGCACCTGGGCAGGCCGGGGGAGGGGAGGGGGTCCAAGGGCCTGTCAGTGAGGCAGAGGGCCGGCCTGTGCTGACCTGCAGCAGCACGTGGCAGATCTCCACGGAGCCCTTCTGGGCGGCCGCGTGCAGGGGTGTACGCTTGCTCTGCTGATCGCTCTGGAAGTTGGGGTCCAGGTTGTCCACTGCGGTGAGAGCCCACCACACCGGGAGAGGGCGGGACAAGTGGTAAGGAACTAGGAGGTGGGTGGTACCTCTTCTAGGAAGGCTTCTCAGGCCCCCAACCTGTGCCTTCTTTGTGCTTGCCACCACCATGACACTTATCCCAAGAATAGGGAGTTACAGGCACCGGTTCTGCTAGACTGCCGGGCCCTGGGCAAAGTAGCTAACCCTCTGGGCCTCCGCTGGGAAGGCTTATGGGAGTGAATGAGTATAAACACTCAGAATGGGGCACGTTCCTCTGTGCTTGCTGTCACCACCGTCCCCGTGTTCATGGGTCATCAGTGCCTCTCTTCCCCACTGTGCTTAGGACTTTGGGGCAAGGACAGTGACCTTCACTACTGCACTCCTGGCCTGGAGCCCAGTGTTGGGTATACAACTGGCGCTAACCAAGGCTTGCTGAACCAGTGCACGGATTACTCACATAGCATCAGGATCACCTTCTGCAGCTCCCCCTGCTTCACTGACAGGTACAACTGCCGGGGGTGGAAACGGAGTTTCTTCCGCCTGCCATGGTTGGGGGGAGGTCCTCAGATCTGAACACCAACCTCAACACCCAAAGATCTGCCCTTGCAGACCCAGCCCTGATTTCTGCACCCACTCACCTCTCTGACTCCTGGATAACCAGGGCCTTCTCCAGGGCCTCGCGGCCTGGCCCAGGTGGTAGCCCCACGGCTGAGAGGCAGCCTCCATTGGGCAGGGTCAGGGAGGGCCCCGAGCTGTCGATGGTGTCAGCCAGGGGGTCACAGGGTGGGCGCCGGGGCTCCCCATGACCCCGCATCCGGGCACTGTGGAGTAGAAGGTGCTCATGTCTAGGGGCGATGCAGACGGGGCAAGGAACAGACAGTAGGGAAGTGGGATGCAAATACCTGGGCTGGGAAGTGTCTGCTCTCCCAGGGGCATCCTGGGCCAGGGGTGGGGGGACAGGAGCTGCAGTGCCAGCCGGTGGGGTCGTCCCATCCCCGCGGGGAATGGTCACCTCCTGGGCCTCAGATGCATCCTCCCCACAGTGGGGACAGAAGACCATCCCATTCAGCTGGGACACACAGGCCTTGTGGAAGCGGTGGGCCACACGGAAGTCGGGGTGGCACTCCAGAAAGGTACCCTGAGAGCCAGGAAACAGGGTGCTCAGTCTCCAAGAGCCCCTTCCCCTGAGGGGCACACCACCTGTTTGCCCCACTGGTCACTCACCGCTGTACAGAAGTAGCCACAGCCCGGGCAGCAGTGGTGTTTGACCATGCGAGCGCGGTGGGTCTCACAGAGCACCATCAGTGCTACGCGGCTTGATGGCCTCATGGTCTCTCGCTTGAGGATTGCAGTGCTGCAGCCCGACAGCTATGGCAGTGAGGATGGGTGAGAAGAGGGTGAGGTTGGGGCCTGGGGCTGATTCCCCTGCACCTCTCCTACCAGCTCATGGGCCCACCTCTCCATCCACACTCTCCGTGGCCATGCACTTGTGCCCCGCTCTCTCACTAATGCGGTCAATCTTGGGTGCCTCCATGCGGCAGCTGCAGAGGGGCAACTCCTCAAACCCACGCTCTGTCTCCAGAGAAGACGTGTCATTGGACACCCCTTGGACAAAGGAAAAAGAGCTGAGGGAGGCCCTGCTCCTCACCTATGGGCACCCCTGGTGGGGCCTCTCATCCCCGCCCTGTTTTTCTCTTCCTGATCCAGAATTCCAAAGCCTGGCCATGGACACTCCAGCTCCAGTGGGGTCCCCCTCCTCCCCATTCCGTTTAGCTCTGAGGCCTCCCCCTAGTAGCTTGCTATCCCAGCAATTGGCAATTACCAGCGTGGTTGGGGGAGAGGGTCCCCTCGCTGGGCAGCTCCAGGGACCCCAGAGGGACCTCCATGTACTCACTGGGGCCTGAGGAGCCCACACCATTCACTCCTGACACAGAGACAGAGAGAGTGAGAGTGCGAGCTCATGGGTGCCTGGACACATGAGTACATGCAGGTGTATACGGGCGTGTGTCATGCATGCTCTCTGGGGGATGGGAGGGCGTCTGGAGGAAGGGACCCCAAAGCAGAGAGGCCTCCTCACCTCGTGGCTCCTTGGCCCTTGGAGGCTCCCGTTTCCGCCGTTTCCGTGACGGCTTCACCCATGGGCTGTCCTTCCGCCATTTCTTCTTGGCTTTGCGCCGGCCACTGGAACCACTCTGAGGAGGAGGAAGAGGCAGAGAGCCTGGTGCCCACCCCTCCTCTGAGGACTAAGACCTCTCGCCTCCAGCCCTACTCCTCTGAGAATGCCAGCCTCTGGCCCTTACTCTGTCAGACTGATTGCCAGATTCCTCCTCTTCCTCTTCTTCTTCCTCTTCCTCCTCTTCCTCCTCTTCCTCTTCTTCTTCCTCCTCTTCCTCCTCTTCCTCACTCAGTTGTTCAGCCAGAGCTTCAACCTCAGACTGGGAGACAGGCAAAGTGGGGCTGGGGAAACAGCAGTCTGCAGGCCACAGTTCTCTCATGGGGGGAACTTGGGAGGGAGAGAGGCAGAGCAGGACATGTCCAGCCCTAGAGTTCAGTGAGGTGGGATAAACACCACCAACTGCAACCCAGGGTGGCTCCCTGATGTGGGCAGGAAAGGAGGGAAAGGGCTACAAAGAGGTGGGTGTGGAGTATTACACAGTAATGAAAAAGGAATGCTACAGTTATGTACAACAATGTGTACGAACCTTGGCAACACAACACTAAACAAAAAAAGGTTAGTTCCAGAAAATAAACGTATAGCATGATACTCTTTTTATAAATAAGCAAGATTACTAGTGGCTGCCAAAATACTGGATGAGAAGCTAATAAGCAACTTTATTACCAGGATAGGCTGATATCACTTGAATTCACTGATCAATCTTAACATCACTAATAAAAGACCAAATGTTCTATAGCTTCTGATATCATGAAACAAGAAGCTCACACACAAGCCAAGTCTTCCCATGCAAAAAAAAAAAAAAAAAGGCACCTGAAGCTGATCATGCTTCTAGATCTATCAGTTTACAAGAAATATTGAGGAGACAGGAATGTGACAACCCCCCCTGCCCCACCAAACCAGGCAATTCCTAAATGTAAGGATTTCTGCAGGACAACTGACCTGGGTTCTTCAATTAAAAATTGGCAAGAAAAAACACTTTTTAGAAGATGAAGGAACCTATACATCAAGAGAGACCTAGACAAATGTCAATCAAATCAATGTGTGGTACTCACCTGAGTCTGGACAAGAACCTATTTTATGAACAGTTGAGGAAATAGGAACATTGACTAGCAGCAAGGTGATGGCATTAGAGTCATCTGTTCATTTTTTTTGAGTGTGAAAATAGTAATGTAGTGATGTTAAAAAACAAAGAGGCTTTATGTTTAGAGATACACATGGAAAGATTTCTAGATAAAATGGTATAATGTCCAAGATATGCTTTAAAATAATCTATTAGCTGTGTGTGTTGGGGGAGTCAAGATAGGTTGTGTACTGAAAATTGCTGGAGCTGGGTGATGGCTACATGAGGCTTAGTATTCTATTCTTTTGTGTGTATTGTGTGTGGTATTGAAAGTTTCCATGATAAAAGTTTAAATGAACAGCAATGCAGGCAAGAGTAAGCATTATATTGCATAGGCAAACACCAAACCAGGAGCAAACGAATAAACAAGAAAACAAACAACAAATAAACAACAAAATTGGATTCTAAACCCAAAGTCCAGGATGGTGGTTGCAGGGCAAGGGGATGGAATGGCATGGAGCACACACCAGAAATATATTATAGATGGTGTGAGACAGTGAACTAGTGAGTGGTCAGAAGACAAGAGAGAAAAGGGTGCAGAAGACAAGAGAGAAAAGGGGGCAGAAAAGACTGGAGTGAGCCCTGGAGGGGCCAGGGGCCTGCTGGCTGGGAGCAGGCCAGCTCCTTCTTACCTTGCTGTCAGAATCCACACGCTCATCCACAGAGTAGGAGTCATAGTAGAGACTGAAGTCATCCCCCACCACTGTCTCCCACTCCTCCAAGGACCTGGGGTCTCCCTTGTCCAGGGTCACCTCTCCCAACCTCCGGGCAGAACTCAACACCTCAGGCTAAAAAAAGATCAGAAAGGTCAAAGCTGCTGGCACTCCCCCTCCAACTGCCTACTTCCCTGGTGGACAGGATGCAGCCCTAGCCATAGGGAGCAGCCCCCCAGGTGGAGGGACCCTGTTCCCTGCCTCCCCAGGCTCACCAGGCCACCGCCAGAGTTCAGCTTCCTCCTTTTGGCCACATCTGGAAGGAGAGAAAGAGAGGAGTGAGGCTAGTACTCTAAACCCTCAGGACAGGCCTTGTCAAGTCGTAGGTGGGTGGAGGGCGGGACTGACCTGAGGTCACCTTCCCCAGCGAGTGTACGTCATCACTCATGCGGAAATGTTGCACTTCAGGGGGCCGCTTCTCAGGGACTGGGGGCTGGGGGCCGAGAGGGAGCATACTTAGGGTCAGGGAGCATCTAGGGTTCTGTCTGGATTAGCCCGGAGCCCCAGATGGGGGTGGGATGGTGAACTACACCCTCAAAAACGCCATCTGAAGGTCCAATAACCAGAACAAGGCACTAACAAGAGCTGTTTCCCAAGAAAAAGTGTGTCAAGCACTCCCTTACCTAACATTTCTCTCTTCAAGCACACACAGAAACAGGCCCCTTTCCCCCCATTTTACAGATGAAAAAACAAAGGTTAAAAAAAGCCTTGATCAAAGCTACCCTAACCATACCCAGAACAAAATAATACCAGGAGCCCTGAAAACGTTGTCATAACACTCCTTAGGTTCTGGGACCTTGCCATTTCCCCCATCTCCTTCTCTGCAGGGATTTGCAATAAAACCTTTAAAAATGGAGCTGGGGTAGTTTCAGAGAAGGGAGGGAAAAGTTCCCTTGGGGCTTGCTTTGGGGTAGAAAGGAAGAGTGATTTGAAGGTTCTTTATGTAGTCATTACCATAAGAATAATAAAGACACTAACTACCAGTCCTTTAACATGTCTCTTCTACTCCCCTCTTTCCAAGAATCTAAACTCCAGGAAGACAGGAACCTGTTCGTTCACAGATTAAGCCCCAGCCCAGAGTCTGAAACATAGTAGCCCCTTGATAAGTATATGAAGTCACAACTGGATTAGAAAAGGCCTGAAGCTAAACTGTAAAAAAAAATCCACAAGGGGTTTACAGTTATTATCCCTATCTCCCCACCCCCACACACCCCGGCTCCCTCCAACCTGGCACAAGTCTTCTCCCTAATCCTCACCTGTCCATTTCCTGGTTTGGACATGGTTTTCCTGGCTCGGTGGACCTTGGGTTGCCCCTCCAGGTTGGTTGTGGTGGGCGGGGGTTCAGGGCCTCCTGCTGCCATTCCCTGGGCTCCCGGCATACTCAGCAGCCTCATTGCCAAACTGTGAACCGATGGGGGTGATTTTCCAGCCCCTGTCATTGACATCTTGGCTCGGCTGGGACAGGCACCCCCCTTGCTGGGGGAAGACGGGAATGATTTTGTGGCATGACCTGGAAAACAGGGCGGCAGGCAGAGGCAAGATAAGAGAATAGGCAGAGCCAGAGGATACCCCACTCACCCTCCAGAATCCCCAATCTCTCACCCAGCAGGAGGCGGCCCCCATGGAGGTCCCCATCTCCCTCCAGATTCTCAGATTCATCCCCAACGAGAGGTGTGGCCCCTACAGGGGTATCAGCCCCCTCATCGCCTACAGTGACAGTGACAGAGGCTGGGGATGAGGGGCCAGCAGGCTCCAAAGAGTCAGGGTTGGCCTTGGGCAAGGTCTCCTCACTCCGAGGGGTGTCTCCCAAAGAGCCATGAACTGTAGAAGAGAAAAAGTTGAGGGCTAAGGGCTCAGGGAATCCTGTGGTGGGGGAGGTGAAGGTACAGCTGGGCCTGTTTCTGCTGCACTCACCTCTCTCAGCGGCTCCTCGAGGCTCCTTCTCTAGCACCAGCGCCCCCATCTCAGTGGGGGCCTCCCCCTGGGAGGGGACACAAGGGATAGGAGGGCTGGTCAGCCCAGTAGTAAGTTGGGGGGCCCAGGATGCCTGGGCCCTGGGAAGATAGAGCAGGCTCCGGGGCCTACCTCTTCCTCTATGGAGACCCCCCCTCCCGCGGCCTCGGCTGCCCGGTGGGACCGCTCGACCCCTCCCCCGGGCCCGCATCAGCCCCCTCCCTCTTGGTAGACCCCGAATCTCAGAGACCGAGAAGAGAGGAGGGGGCGGGGGCGGGGCCTCAGCGCCCCGGCCCCGCCCCCTCCTCCCGGCTGCACGCGCTGCTCCCCCTTTGTCCCCCAGGCCGCGGGGACCCCGGGCACCAACCCCTCCAGGACCCGCTGACCCCCAGCCCGGTGGACGGCCCCTAGTGCCCCTTGCGCGTGCTCCTGGGGCTCCGGAGCCCGCTGACCACTCGGGGGCAGCCGGAGGCTGCATGCGCGTCTCCGTGCCCATTCCCCCCACCTCCCACCCCCTGGTCCCCTCATCCGCCCCCGGTGCTGGCCCTCCGGATTGCTGCAAGTCCCGCCCGGGCCCCCCGGCCCCGTTGCACCCCCGGAGCATTGCACGGGCGCGCGCTTCCCCCGGGCGCGCGCGTGGGCATGCACCCGCCTCTCCCCCTCCCCTTCCGCACCTCGGCGGCCGTCGCCGCTGCAGCTCCCGCCGCCGCCGCCATCGCCGCTTGCGCGGGGGCTGAGCCGGCGCGCGGCCGTCCCGGGTCACGTGGGCGGGGGAGGGAGAGATAGGCGGAGCCTTAAAGGAACCACTAAGCGCTTTCTGGCCATTTTTCACCGAGAGCGGCCTCGTAGATGGCAGTGGCTGTCCTAAACTGGGGGATGTAGGGGAGAATTCTTGCCATTCCTGGCCCCAGTTCGGCGGGGAACCAAAGGCAAGGCCCGCCTGGGGCTCGGTGTGGCCTCTGCATCCCCACCTAGTTTTAGGTAACGAGCGGAGCGTGTGAGACTCCCAGCTCTCTACCGGGGCTCTATTTCCAATCCAGTCCGCGTATGCTTCTCCCGCCCCTAGTTGTGTTCTAGTTTGTGGGTCACCAGATGGAAGATTCAGTCTTAATTTTGGCCTCGCTTCTCTCACAAGCAAGGCGGAGGCGATAAGGACACGCGAAGGACACCTTTACACTCGGCTGTTCCTAGCATGCTGCTTCATATGAAGTCCTTGGAGCAGTGTCGTCCCCTTTTGAAAAACTGAGGCTGAATGTCTCTTCTATTTATGTGAGACATGTTACGCCACTACATGTGCTAGAGATCCAGGTAAGTCCCGAGCGATTCAAGCGTCATGACTGTTTGGTGACACTCTAGTTTTTTGCCAAACACTTCACAACCATAGGCTCCATGGGTCATAGTCCAGCTGAAAATGAAGTATGAATTATATTACACCAAGATACACAACTTTGGCAGCGGTATTTAGGGTACCATTCCTTTAGGTATTACATTCTGGTCGAAGTTTGGGAAATATCTGTATGATTTCACACGCAGTAGCAGACACAGGCAGGTGGTAGTTGGGGTGTAGGGCAACTGTGGCCATTTCAAGGCCTTCTGGGAACTGTAGTTCTCTTTGGTTAAAAAGTATTCCATAGCTTTTAGTGAATTGTAGTCTTGTCCATACCCTAATCCAAGCATTGTTTTTCACCCAACCCAAAACGCCCAAATACAAGTTTCTGCTTACAATTTCAGTGGGCACAGTGATCACACCTATAGCCCATCCCTAACCCTAATACTAAACTCCTCAAATAGAGGCCATGTGTTACCACTGCTAATCATAGAACATTGACGCTATGAGGTATCTGCCAGGTGTTGAGGTTGCAGAACTGGGAGGGTCCTTGGCCAGAGGAGCCTACTTGTCCCGTCAAAGCTCCTTCAGGCATGGGACCACATGAGTTGTGACCTTCAGGTTGAGCAAATGGCATCAGAGGAAGAGGCTGTCTAGTGTGAGAGAGTCAAATACATGAGTTGTCAGACAGTATAAAGAAAAAAAGTTTTTTTTTATTTTGTGGAAAACAAAAGCAGAAAAACGAAAACCCCAAACTCCAGAAAAAACCCTAAAAAATACGTTTTGTTTTCTTAAAAAATACTGTATAAGTAAAATACTCCTCCCCCACCCTCAAACAGTCCTTCTTGTGTCCTTTCCTCTAAGTGCCCTACCCTCCCACCCCCACCACTAGTCATCGTTCTTGCTATTGTACCCCACTTCCCAATATCTATCGAAGATGCTCACCCTTATATTCTCTTACCTGGCACCTGACTTTGTCTTCCCTAGAATTTCATCGAGCTCTGTTCCCACAGTCCCACCCCTCAGCATGCAAGAACCATCTCCCGCTTCTTTTTCTGGGATTCAATAATCCTTTCCCCCCACTGCTCCCTCTCCCAAGGATCTATTCTATGCAGGAGCCGGTAAGCTGCTGCCTGCCAGTTCCCTCCCAATTCCCACCCACCCACCCTCTACCTCAAGAAATGTCAAAACCTCTCCCTGGGCAGCCTTAGCCAGGAATAAATCATTTTCCAGTCTTTTTTCCTCCTCATTTTATAAGACCCGTTCCCTCCCTCCACGTATCCATGCACTTCTAAGAAGAAATTCTTTCTCAGGGAGCCAGTATTTCCTTGGCCTTCTCAAAGAACCCTTACCCTCTCCATCCTTTTCTTCTGAAGAAGCAGTCTTCTCTCCAAGGAATCTTTGGCCCCCTCTTCCAGCCTGCCCACCGTACCAGCCTGTTCCCGACCCCCCACTCCCCCTATTCTGCTGGGCCAGGAGCCCCATTCCAACCCAGCCCAGGGATCCCTGCCTCCTGGCCTCTGTGCCTGCCCTGCTAGCGGATGAGGACGTTGATCTCGGCCACGCTGGCCTCCAGCACGTTCTCGGCGGTGGTCTTGCCGTGCTGCTCCTTGAGGTGCCGCCGAATGGCAGGCTTGTGGGCGAAGCGCACGTCGCAGTAGGAGCAGCGATAGGGCCTCGCTCCCGAGTGCAGGTTGAGGTGGTCGTGCAGCGTGGACTTCTGCGTGAAGCACTTGCCGCAGATGCCACATGAATGCGACTTGACGCCGCGGTGCACATTCATGTGACGATTGAGGTTGCTGCTGTGGTTAAACTGCTTGCCACAGCGTGGGCACATGAAGATGAAGTGCTGTGCCCGCATGTGGAAGACTAACTTCTCCACACCCTGGAACACTTCCGGGCACTTGGTGCACTTGATGTTTTTCAGGGGGTTTCCGCTGGAAAAGCCCCCAGGCAGGGGTCCTCGGTTGCCCCCCGCCCCCAGGCTGCCCCCCGCCCCCCGGGCAGCCATGGCCACCGCTGCTGCCTCCACCAGGCCCGAGGTGGCCCCCATGCTGGCCCGGCCTCCTGGGATCAACAGTAGGCCCTCTCCTTCTGCGTCCTCAGACAGGCTGTAGCAGGCTTTCACCACACCCTGCGGTGGGGCCACAGTGCTGGGGGGCACACTGCTCTGGGCCAGCTCCCCAAGGTGGCTGCCCACAGAACCCCCTAAGCCCAGACCTCCTCCCAGGCCTCCGGGAGGTTTGAGCCGGTGTGCCACCTCCAAGGCCGACTCCACCTTGACGATGCAGATGTCAGACACATCCTCATCCTCATCCTCATCCTCTTCCTCGGCCTTCAGTTCCAGGTCCTCATCCAGAGGGAACTCCAGCTTCACAGGCCGCAGAAGTGGAGGGGGCAGAGGGGGTGGGGGTGGGGGCTTGGGGGCTGGCTTTGGGGTCCTGGAAGGAGGGAGGAGGGACTTGGTGGCATTGACACTGCTCACAAGGCTGGCATCGCTGACCCCATCCTCTTTGAGGCTTATTTTGGGCTCAATGAACTGGCTGAGAGCATTCCGGCATTTCTCTACCACGTGCTCCATCTGTAGGTAGGAAGCTGCCGTCAGGTAGTTGACTATGTCCCTGACGGCAAATTCCAGGGCGCCAGTATAGCAGGAGAGGAGCAGGTCGGCCACAATACGTGCACTGTGCATCAGTGAGACCTGCAGCTCAGAGCTGGGGTTCAGCAGGAACTGGTCCCGCAGGAAAGGCGAGCAGGCAGCCAGGATGACCTTGTGGCCGCGGAACTTGAGGCTGTCGGCCACAATGGTCACGTCGCAGAACCGCTCCTCTGCGCGGAGCTGGTTCATGTTCCGCAGCGTAGCGGCCTCGTGGCCAGGCAGCTGGAAGCGCAGGACTTCCACCCCAGAGGCCATTGTGGCGGGGGTGGGGAACCCTGGTTGGAAAGGAAACCAGTCAGAGACAAAGGTCTCTGGCTCTCCTAAGCCAAGTTTCCAGGACCCTCGCCCCCATTCTTGCTTTGCTCCCCAGTTTCAGAGCTCCCAGTCTTCAAACCTCTTCCTCAGTTTCCCCAGACCCCGAGAGGCGCCGTGATGGAGGCGTGGCTCCCGGGGGCGGGGCAGCGGCGTCCACACCCCCCAGACCGAATGCCTGCGAGGATGGGGCAAACTTCGCGGCTCCAAAGGGGAAGGTCGGAGGAAGGGGGAGCAAAGGCCTGGAGCTCCGGCGTGATCCGGATTGCAGCCTCTTCTCACTCCACCTCCTTTACCCGCTGCCTCATTCCCCCGCCCCCCGCTGCACGTTTGCATGTCCTTTCCCCCTCCCCCGCCGCCTGCACGCATCGTGCACGCCTCCCCCAACGTTCAGAACTCCGTGGCACGCCCCCCCACAAAGCCCCACGACCCTGAGTGCACGCGCCTCTCACCTGGCTGGGTTCCGCGCGCTGTTTTTTTTTCCCCCCCTATTTCCCCCACCCCCCCTCCCGGGCCGTAGCGCCCCACACACGGGCAGGGCCTGGGCAGCGCGCAGGCGCGGGGGTGCACGGGGCGCGCGCGCGCGCGGGGCCGGCTCCGCGTGGGCGTGAGGGGGGGAGGGGCGGGGGCGGCTCGTGCCGTGTGTTCCAGGTCCCGCGCGCGGCGGTGTCGGCGAGAACTCGGGGAGGAGGAAGAGGGGAGGGAATTAAAGGAGCAGGATTCCCCCTTCCCGACCCCCCTTTCTTCACCAGCCCCTCCCCACACGGTTAAAGGGCCGGACGGCCAGGCCTCCTCTGGCCAGTATTATTTGTCCGCCAGAGCGGAAATACGTTCCACACCCCTTCTTTCTCGCTCCCCCTCCTCTGCGCCTCTGGGCCCCGCGGCCGTCTGCGCGTGCGTGCCAAGTGCCGCGCAGAGGCCCACTTGCCCGGCCCGGCCCCCCCCCAGCTCCCCGCTGCTCCCGGCGGCGAAAGGCGCCCCCCAGTGCGCGCCCCCGCCCGTCGGCACCCCACTCCGGCCCTGTCCTGGAGGGCGGTGCTGCCACCTGCTCCCGGGAGTGGTGCGGCTCTGGCCCAGCTGTGCAGAGCAGGGCCTGGGTTACAGCCGCGGCCCCTCTCAGGGCCCCAGTCCGCCCCGCGGCTATTAGAGCAGTTGGTCGCTGTTGTCCACGAGTGCATCTCCATTGGAGTGTGTTCACCGTTCTTCCAGCCACAGCTACAGACTTTCCAACTCTTCTAAAGCTAGTAACCACCCTAGCCCTCCTGGCCTAAAAAGATGTTTTAACTTCGTACAAACAATCCAGTACCCTCAACTTTCCTCTTTTCTGTATCACAATCGTGTAAAATAACACCCATCGTCTCCTCCCCTCTAATCTCAGGAGTGATCCCAACTTCTTGCCAAGGCAGACGTTCTCCACTTGTACTGTCGATGACCTTGCCCATTTCACCCTGACTATATAATTAGCTCTAGTACTAATTCTTCTAATTATGCGATTATTTATATTAGTAAGATTCTACTAATTTTTCCAACTGCAACTGTCCCCCTGACCCCGCCCCTCTACCAGACTGACAAGGTCAGAACTCCACCACCCTAAACAAAACCTCCTTTCAACCCTTTACCTCTGCCTTCTCATTCTCTGTCACTTCCAGACTAAGCTGCCCTCTCCACAGCTTCACCACCAGCGTTTATTAGCGCCTTGAACACGGGCTTCCTTCCCTCCATTTTCCTTGAACCTCTCATACCCACACTCACTTCCCCATCTAAGTCCAGATGGAGAAGACCCCATTTCCTGACAATTGCATTTGTTTATTACATCCTCTGGGGGACTAAGAACATTTTCCTTACACATCAATTTTGATGAAACTGCTCGTTACGTAATACTTTCAGTATTTGGTTTCTCCGTAAGATTGTAAACTTCTTGATGGCCGGAATGGTGTCATGGATTATGTTTTGCAATTAAAAATCATGCAATAAATGACTGGTGAAGTCATACTTCTTCAGTGCAACCAGGCTCCATCCAAAAAATGTTTCTGACTTAAACTGAATTCCTGAACTCAAGGGATACCCTTTGGAGAGAGAGTGGGGTTAGTTTTCAGGTGGTGCCTTGACTCCTTGCCTTTCCCTTTTAAATTCTCTGACTTTCATGCGTCTACCCAGTTCTTATTCTAAAATGCCCTCTTGGTAGAAATCTCCTTTGAAGTCAGCCCATGTGGATTCCAGAAAGAACATTAGCTTTTGTGTCAGACACACCTAGGCTCAAGACTTTATTCCACTCCTACTAAGAGAGGGCCCTTGGGCAAGTTACTTAATTCACAGCATCTTTATCTTTGAATTGGTGGCCCTGATGCCTCACTGGGCTACTTGTGAGGTTTAAGTGAGCCAAGCAAACAGTAGGTGCTGAATTAGTGATAGCTCCTTTCCCCTTTGCCTGATTGGGAGATAGACTACTACATTTTTTAAAGAACTTTAACAAAAAATTCTGCTTCTCAGTGTCATCTCTTCTCAAGAGAATTTCTCAAGAGAATAGTACACACTCCACTGATAGCAGACATACAAAAAGCTGTCAAGGTAAGAATTTAAGTTAAAGTTTTTGTATCCTGTCTCCTTCTTGCTACTTCTCTTTTCTGGAAGTGAGATGGGACAGGGGATGAGGGGTGGGGGTGCTAATCTCAGCATTTAAGACAGCTGGTCCTTGGTGGCAGGTAGAGTTGAGAACTGATGAGTCCTTCAAGTACCAAGCCCACCCACTTACAGTGTTAAGTGCAAACAGTAGTGCCCACGTCTATCTTTTCCTGTACAGTCTGGGAGGAGATGTTGTAGGGCTGTTTTCCTACATACCCCACTTAGGGTAGCTGGAGTTTTGTTGCTTGGTTTCCAGTTTATGCTAGTGTGATATGAGGGGCTCTCATGTCCTTGGCTGACAGTACCAAATGCCCTGGTGTAGTTTCAAGAACAGGTACATTCGGGATTCCTAGTGGGCTTTAGAAATAAAATCTGACTAGGGAATAAGGAACAATTAGGAGACAGGAAGTCTAGGTTCTAGTCCAGGTTTGAAGTTATCAAGGCTCCAGAGGTGTCAGTATTCTCTTCAATGAGATGGAGGGATTGTCCTCTGAAGTCTTTTCCAGCCCTGTGAGTCCATAAAAGTTCAATGTGAAAAGGGCTGTGTGTAGTTTTGTGCCTATGTCTGGGAGAAGTGGTCAAGGACTAGCTAGCTTGTGACAAGCAATAATACTCTTGGTTACTGATTGGAGGTAAGCAGTGGCCTAGATCATTCACAAATGGTAGAAAAAGTTAGACATTTCTCTGAAGCATTCAAAGTATTTTTGATAGTGGGTTTACTTTTGCAATGTGCTTAGCCCAAATGAATAACATAATTCCTTGAGCAACCAACAGGAAAGAAGGAGGGGAGTCAGCCCTGGACTTTTTAATCTGTAGACTGATAAAGCTTTTCTTGTATTACAGCAAAACCTCCAACTTCTCCCCTTTTCTCCTTTGACCCGCACTCAGCTCTAGCCTTACTGTAGGAACACTAGTGAAAACTGCTGCTGTCTCAGGTAAGGGCAACAGGGGCTCACAGCTTGAGAAAAAACACTGTATGAAAACAAAGGGCCCGCACTGCTCCCATCTGTTTGCAAAACCACCTTTCCTAAACTCCTATTCAGCCCCTGCAAAGTACTCCCTTCCGGGACCACTCCTTCAAGCTGGCTTCTTCTCTTGCGTTGTACCTCAGGTTCCCCTGGCTCCTGGAACCTCCTCACGGCCTCTGCCTCCTGACTTAGGCTTCCCTCCTTCTCCTGCCTTAGATGGAATTTAGTTCTCCCTGCAGCCCACTACCTCCCCTCCTCTGATCCCTGACACGACACCCTCCCTCCCATGCTCTACACTGGTCTGGGGAAATGATGGCCGATTCTCCCAGCTCCTTGTTAGTAGTCCCCAGAATGGGACTCTTCCACATCACCAAACACGCTTCTCTCCCAGCCCTGTTCTGCTACTCCTACCTCTCCTTGTTGCCCCAAGCAGCTGACTCCAGGCCTGTAGTGCCTGGCCCAGGCCACCTTTCCCAGGCCTGCCTATGACATGCAAACGACCTATTGCACACTCCAATTAAGAAAAAATTGTCCTGTTTATTTTATGTGTTTGTGGGTTTTTTTTAGAGAATCATTTGTATGGTTCAAAATTAAGAAAGTGTGAGAGGGTACACAGTGAAGGGCCTCCCACCCGCCCCAACCCGTTCGTGTCCCTTCAGCAACAGATAGTACTGGTTTTTCTTCCAAACTTCTTGACCTCCTTCCAGCAATTTTTATCTTGACTCCATTTCATCCACTCTTCGCAGAATCACACTCTGGTGATTATCAGCATCTGAAATTTGAAAACCAGCACACACTCTCTGAGTAGCCCTTAGATAGCTCGGTCCTGGGGGGCAGTGAATGTAATTGCTCCACCCCCCAGGGAGACCTCCAGTCACCCAGTCCTCCCTTTTCTTTCAGACCCTCCTCCCTCCCTCCCTGTCCAGCCAAGACACCACTCGCTCACTCAGCGGCTCGGGCACCTGGGAGAGCCCTCGCCCCTCCATGGCCCCTTGCAACCTCCTCCACTCTCTGGAGTCCCCTTCCCCACTCCCAATCCCCCTCTCTCAGTAGACATGTCTCTGAGGCTCCAGGGCCCTCCTTCACACCTCCCCCATGTCTTTTTTCACCCGGTGGCCCGTAGTTCCCCTTCCTTAGTTCCAGAGCCTGCTGAAATCCAGTCCTTCCTTCCTCCATGCCTTTCCTGACCTTGCTGCATTTCCTGTCCTAGGCTTTAACACTTACCCCCTTTACTTTAAACTCAGACAAGTCTTTGCTACGTTAAAAAAATTCTTCAATCTGTTCCCTCTCTGGCTCCATCTCCCCTCCTCCCTTCGGAACACAGCCAGCCTTCCTAGTGTTCACCCTTCACTCTCTTCATCCTTATCCTCTCTCCTAAAATTTTCATTGTGAGTATATTATACATGTAGAAGATCATATAAAAAGAGCCTGTATTATTAAAGACAATTAAACAGAATGCCTGGTAAGCTGAAGAAACAAATTCCGGGGATCTTATTGTCCTCACTCCACATTGACTACATCCCTCTCCCTCCCTGCAGGGTGATCTCTACCCCGAATTTCTTTTTTTTTTAATTAAAATATCATTGATATACAATCTTGTATTGGTTTCAGATGCACAACACAGTGGTTCAACAGTTACCCATATTAAATCCTTACCCCCTCTAGTGTGGTTACTATCTATCAACACAGAAAGGTGTTAACAGAATCATTGACTACTCTCCATGTTGTGCTACCATCCCCCCGACCAGCTTATATTGGGATAGCAAATTACTGTGCCCCTTTATCCCCCTCCCCTTCCCCCAACCTGCCCCAACCCCTTCCTCTTGGTAAGCACTAGTCACTTCTCAGTGTCTGTGAGTCTACTGCTCTTTTGTTTTATTTTTATATTCCACAAACAAGTGAAATCATATGTTATTTTTCTCTGCCTGGCTTATTTCACTGAGCATAATACCCTCTAGATCTATCCATATTGTTGCAAATATTAGGATTTCTTTTCCTTTTATGGCTGAATAATATTCCATTGTGTATATGTGCCACAGCTTCTTTATCCATTCATCTATTGATGAACACTGGTTGCTTCCATATCTTGGCT